TCAGAAATGATGTTATTAGTCAGTGATTGTTGTTTAGTTTTGTGTATTTTAATAATAACCTATATTTTTAGCCGACCATACCAATAGGTATGGTAGGCTATTAAGATCGAAAAAAAAATGTTTTTTAATTTCACTCAAAATGAGTTATTTGGCCATAAATGACCAAAATACAAAACATTTTCATGGTGTCTGTCTGTCTGTCCGTCTGTAACACGATAACTCAAAAACCGTTAAACCGATTTTAACCAAATTTGGCACAAAAATACTGTGGCGCCCTAGAATCTGGCCATTAGTTTTTGGTGGGGGTGGGGGGTTGGAAAGGGGGTATGGGAGGGGGTTAAAAATTTTAAAAAATCGTAACTCCAAAATTACAGTAGCTAGCGAAACGCGGTTTTCAATTTAAGATTAGGAATAATATTTGCAACAAAATTTGTAATAACATCAAAATCAGTCAAAGTCGCAGTTTTTGAGATAAAAAAAATTGGAAAAATTCCTTTACTTTGAAACTAAAAGAACTGCCTACGAACTTTTTATTAACATATTTTAGTATGGGCGGCTATACGTGCCCCCTGGCGCCAATTTTTTAATACACTTATTCAGTAATTAATTTTGAACATCTTCAGATTAAAACTGTTTATTTCTTATCACGATTAATTATCTTGATTAATCTCATATTGTAGGAAGCGTCAAAAAATTAATCATGTTATTTCATTTTTGGTTTAGTTTTTTGTTTCGACGCTAGTGATAACAACAGATAAATAATTGAGTTCCTTAAACTTATTGCCAACCAAACGAGCAAAATCAATAGACAATTTAGTATTTCAATCATTGTTGACCTCTCTGTATTAAGATAATGGATGGTCCATAGTTTCTTTCATAGAGAATAGGTGCAGAATAGACTAAACCTAAAACAGCAGCGGCGGTAGTACCGATAGCGGCGGTACCGTCGAACGATACAGTACTTTCGCGATGGACCTTGGTTGGTTCGGCGAGGTCCCAAACGAGGTCACCACACAAGGTCTTCACGCCTAAGACCATGGCGGTCCTAACCTTGCTATACAATATGTTTTTGATGGAAATTTTAATTATTGTGTTCGTCAACACGGTCGCTCTCGGAATTCTCGATTTGGTTTTTCGGTACCACCACTAATCTAATTAATTTGCTTAAAAAACTCAATCTTAAATGTTAATATAATTATACTACATAATTATAGCACAGTATTCGTAAGTATAGTTATTAGAAAAGCTCTCAAAGGTTGATACCTGCAGCTATAGTGCTACTATTTGAGTAGAGAAAAGAAATATGTGCATACTTTTTACAAGCTTATATTTAGCAGTGATATGATGTTAGTACGTCATTTTAACCCTTTATAGGTTGATGGTCGCAAAATCGACCATTTTAATATAACGAACTAATCAGTCGCGTGGAAGTGTTTTATCGCCCAGTTTGTTTGCTATGCATAAGCATATACGTTGGCCGAATTGGCGCGAAAAGTTAACGTAAGCGGTTGAATATTCGACCAGTGAGTGTTGGTGACACTGAGTTCGCTGTGTGTCATTCATGTGGGTAATAATTGTCGTCTAAGCATTTTCTATGCAAATTTCGTGTGATAAAAATTTAAAAATATAGAAACAAATGTATCTGTGGCGTTTGTTTCATTTTATTTAGTGCACCAAATTTACTGCTCGGATAATATTTTCTAAAATCGTTAAAATTTCCTGTATATTGTCGATCATTTCTCATTGGATGCGAGTTTCTCGAAAAGCAAAATTTGATTTACTTGATATGGACATATTTTTTTTTCTTACATTGGATGATACATACAGTTTATACATTAGATTATTACATATTATCTATTTGCTTTAACAGTCTCTGGTTGAAAAATCGACCATCAAACAAGAAAACAAGAAAACAAACAACGCTTTATTGTACAAAAAGCCAAAACAGCTTCATCGACAAAGCACTCACAAAACAACAAAATCACAAAAAAAATACAAACAAAAAATACACAATACAAATAATACAATTCAAAAAAATTTAAGTCTTTAAAATTACAAAAAGAATATACATGGACAGTTTTAGAACAGTACGCAGTAAATAGATATAATTTTAGAGTTATAAAATATTAAATACTTGACCTTTGACCAGTGTGTGAGATGATCAAAATTTTAAAATTCAAAATTGTTCATAATTAAACATCAACAAAAAAGTCGTTTACCGCCAGTAAGTATGATTTTAGAGCTTTTTTGGCATTGTACAGTATTGAACCTTTAACTAGTTCTGAGCTCGGGGTTGGCAAATAAAGATCGTGCATTCCTAAGTGGATAGTTATGAGATGGCCTTTCGGGAATAGCAGATATGTGCTTGCGGGTTAAGCAAACGGATTCAAAAATGAATAAAGAAGGAAGAGTCAGTATTTTCAAATTTTTAAAGAAATTCTGGCAGTGAGTTCTACTGTTCAGTCACAATAAATATCGAACTGCCCTCTTTTGAAGTCTGAAAACACGATCAAATTTTGTTGCGCAGCAAGTACCCCAGTATGGAAGGGCATAACAAAGATGTGATTCAAAAAGGGCATAATAGGCTATTCTAGAGGTTGAGAAGTTAAGTTCCTTAGAAACTGATCTTAGCGCAAAACAGGCAGCGCTTAGTTTCTTCGATGTGAAAGTCCCATTTTAACGAGTTGTCTACAACAAGTCCTAAGAATTTCACAGAGTCCACGACGTCAATAGTGGTGTCATTAAGTACAAAAGGTTGTATAGTACTTTTATATGACAAAACTTTAGTTTTTGATAGGTTGAGGCGATTAGAATCGCACCAAGACTTAATGGTGCGTAAGTCACTGGATATAGTATCATATAGTGCCGCAACATCTGGGCCGCTCCAAGTGAAACTAGTATCGTCCGCAAAGAGGCAGATTTTACCGCTAATGTCTAGATTTGCAATGTCGTTGATAAACACCAGAAACAAAATAGGGTCAAGTACTGAACCCTGAGGGACACCACATTCTATAAGAAGACATAGACGTATCAATCCTCACAAGCTGCCTTCTGTTGCGAGGTTTGACTTAAGCCATTCGAACGGCACTCCTCCGAAACCATAGTATTGCAATTTGTTAATTAAGATATTATGATTTACACAATCGAAAGCCTTAGAGAAATCACAGAAAATTGTAGCTGTAGAGTGATGGTTATTCAGGCTAGAGTATACATTATTAAAAAGGTCGAACATATCATTTGTGCAACTGTTACTTAGAAATCCAAATTGATGTGATTAAGAAGATATGCTCCCTTTGTGCTAGTTTATATATTTTTGAAGTCATTTTTATCAAACTTGAAAATAATTAGTACTGTCTTATCTTCTTACAGTGCCATACTCTATATAGAGCGTCGGCTACCTCTCGCATATACGTGTGATGTGTGTCATCAGTTTTTCACAAGTACACGGACCTACAGTTTATTGCCGAATCCGAACGGCTCTATTTGAGAGGCTGCAAATATACTTAAGATGGTTTGCCATTACCTTCCTTGAGGTGGCGGCTCGTTGGTCGCTCTATTTAGATAAATAAATATTTTTATTTAAATAAATAAAGCGACCGTACTGGCTGGGGATCGAACCCAGTACCTTCCGCTCCGCAGATCGACACACTAACGCTGGAGCTACGGCCGGCCACTATACTTATAAAGGCCACAGTATATTTACACTGCCTTATAAAGGGTTAAAATATGCAATTCATTTTTTAACTTCGAGGGTTGTCTTTTATATTTTGCATATAGAGAAAACCAAGTCTAGATAGCTTTAAACGCTATCGTTTTTCTAAGTATTCTTTAGGAAGAGAAATACATTTTTGCATCCGTTTGAACCAATTCTGAAGGAGTTATTCCACTTGCTTGTTAGTACCTTCAAAATTGCGTTTTTGAAGGCGCTGACTGCATCTTCTGGGGACTGGAACCTTTGCCTTTGACCACGCAGTTTATTCTTAATTTTTGGAAAAGTAAAAAAGTCGTTAGGACTTAGGTCGGGTCTGTATGGAAGATGGTTCAAAAAATCGGTGCTTTCTTTCTTAAAAACTCAATTGTTTTTCGAGCTGTGTGAGAACTTGCATTGTTTTGGTGGAGGATCATTGTTCGTTGAGGGTTGTTTTTCAAAACTCTGCAATTAATTCCGGCAAACAAATATACGATATGTACCAGTCAGCAGTAACAGTTCTCTAGCAAAGGAATTGTTGCTACATGACCCGCTTTTGAGACAAATGTCGCCACCATCTTTTTGGAAACACTTTTGTCGGTTTTGGTTTATCTGGGAACACCCAAACAGCCGATTAACGTTTATTTTCGGGTTCATAACAGTAAATCCAGGATTGACCACCACTGATAATACATATTTTGTTGAGTTTCCTGCGTTAAACCGGTGTAGGGATTTTTGACACCAAATTCCAAATTTTCAATAATTTTTCTTTCGCGAAGAAAAAAAACTCATACACGTGTTTCAGGGGTCGAAATATACTACACATATTTGTACTTATTTAAGGCTCACCCTGTATATAAAAAACCCACTTTAATCTTTAAAAAAAATCATCCACCTCCTATTTTTTCGAACATATTTACACCCTGTATGTAATACAATTGACTCCATAGTTCATGCTTACCAAATAATATAATACCGTATTATTGAAAAAAAAAAAAACGGCGTCCAGTTGGCTGGGAAATGACGATCCATGACATTTCCCATATAAATTTACATATAAAATTACAGCTATCTTCATTTCATAGCCATCGCTGACGCCGTTTTTTTTCGATCATACGGTATTTAATTTCAAGAATTTGACAATAATATGTTATTTTTTTAACTTCAACCGCTAAAAACAAAATATACCAAAAAATAGGAGTGAACGAAACGTATGTTTATATTATACGACCAGTTGCAACAATTATCATTAGTTTGTATTTTATTAAACAAAATATCTGGGATGTTTTAAATTAATTGTTATTGTTTTCAGATTGTTACACGCAACGACAAGGGTGTGCGAGGTTATTGCACGGCATTTTTGTTGGCTTTCGACAAACATTTCAATCTGGCTTTGGATGAGGTCGAAGAATTTTGGAAAAGGTCGATCAAAACGAAATTCACAGGTAGGTAACCTATAACGATAACAATTTTTATTAATTTATAAGGTTTTGTTCGTTAAAAGTCTTTGAATGAAAAGATTAAGGAAGGAATATAATGTTATCCATGTGTTCTTGCAGTAGAGAGGGGATCGACTTTATGAACCCCCCCCCCATTCTGACAGTTCTGTTTGACGTTTCAGTTGACACATTTGAATTTGTTTTGAAGTTTGGCGGATTTTTGGTGCACTCTGAGCTTATTTTATGTTATTTATTATTCATTCTACCATTGATTTTTGTTTAGACTTAGTAAATCTAGAAGAATATTATGTCAGAATTTAATAGTTAGTTATGCAGAAATTGAGATAAACAACTTGGTCGTTTTTCAAATAAGTCCAAATTAACGAGTAATTCAAGTTTGAAAATTAAAAAACAATATTTATTTTTAAAAAAATTTAGAGACACAGGATTTTTTCTGTGTATGCATCCCTTTTAGTGCCGTGCATCCCTTTTACTGAGCGATCCTTTCCTAACAAACACAGGCGTTAGGCAGGGATGTGTCTTAGCGCCTTTCCTATTTAATATATTCATGGCAGCGCTCTCCATTATAGTGGACAGCAAACTGCAGGAGAGAGGTTTGGGCATTATATACAGATACGACGGCGGTCTGTTCAACATAAAAAGACTCAGGGCAAAAACACGTACAAAATTCATCACATAACTTCAATACGCTGATGATGTGCTCTAGTTGCAAATACGTTACAGCAATTGCAAGAAATGTTGAACACATATACATGGGCATACGAGGCTTTGGGACTTAGCTGAACATCGATAAAAATAAAATCATGTGCACTCCCCCGGAAGATCACAACAATGCTATAAAAATCGCAGAAGAACTATTGGAATATGTAGCGGAATTCAATTACCTCGGCAGTTTGATTTCGGAAAAGGCCAATATCGACTCTGAAATTCAACACAGGATTAGCAGCGCCTCAAGAGCATTCTGGAAATTAAAAGACAAGGTTTTCTACAATCATGACTTGAGCACAAAAACGAAACTTGCAGTGTACCGGGCAATAATAATTCCCACCATGTTATATGGAAGCGAAACCTAGGTGCCGTACCGCCGACACATGAACGCATTAAACAAGTTGCAACAGATACACCAGAATTTATAAAAGATGCGAATACCAACTAGACGAAACTCAATTTGGATTTCGCAGTGGCCTAGGTACTCGTGAGGCGTTATTCGGATTAAACGTTATCACTCAGCGTTGCAGAGACATGAATGTCAATGTAATCGCTTGTTTTATAGATTATAGAAAAGCCTTTGACTGCGTTAACCATCAAAAACTTATAGAAGTCCTCAAAACAACCGGAATAGATAGAGAAGAAATTCGATTGATTACAAATCTCTACTGGCAGCAAAACGCAGTGGTTAAAATTGAAGGAACATCGTCAGAAGAAATCACGATTAAACGAGGTGTAAGACAGGGCTGTGTGCTGTCACCGCTCTTATTTAATATATATTCAGAGGCTATCTTCAAAGAAGCTCTAGAAGGAATCGAATGTGGAATTAAGATTAACGGGAAAGTGATCAATAATATCAGGTATGCCGACGATACAGTTGTGCTGGCCGAGAATGAACAAGATTTGCAGAGGCTAATGAATGAATTAGTTCGGCATAGTGAAAACTGCGGTCTCCTCATAAATACCACAAAAACGAAGGTTCTTGCATTCACCAAAACACCTGTGCAGATTCACCTGGATATCAACGGTGACCCAGTAGAGCAAGTGTCTTCATACAAGTATTTGGGGTGTATTGTAAATGATCAATGCGACCCGAAGAAAGAAATTAGAAGCCGCATAGAACAGGCTAGAAAAACATTTATAAATATGAGACAATTTTTCACAAGGTCAGATTTGAGTTTGGAGCTACGGGTACGCATGGTCAGATGCTACATTTTTTCAGTTCTCCTGTACGGGTGTGAGAGTTGACATATCGTTAGAAAAAAAACTAGATGCCTTCGAAATGTATATTTACCGCCGTATATTAAGAATATCACGGGTCCAAAGAGTTTCAAATGTGGAGGTTCTTAATCGAATGAGAAAACAGAAAGAACTCATGCTTACCATCAAAGAAAGAAAAACACGCTACATAGGCCACATAATGAGGGGTAAAAAGTATGTAACTTCTCAGATTAATAATTGATGGCAAAGTCCAGGGCAAAAGATCTATCGGCAGACGCCAGAATTCCTGGCTAAAGGACATTCGTAGACGGTTTGGTTGCTCATCAATCGACATATTTCGTATGGCTGTATCTAGAATGACGTTAGCTATTTGGATCGCCAACCTTCGAAAGGAGACGGCGTCGTAAGAAGAAGAACAGATACATCTTAGACAACTCTTAAGAATAAAATGGTTCCATAGCGATCCACAAGTTTGTTGATATGTTCCTTTTTTAATCTTTTTATTCAAAGTTAAAAGTAGCATAATATACCTTTTTATATAAATAAAAAATGAGTTAAACAATTATATTTACTATATTATTTTTCCGAAAATTTAGGAATTAAAATAAAATTATCATTTTTATATATTATATTAATACCAGGTGCTAAAGAAAGTTTCTTGCGAAAATAATATCGTTTATTTTTTGAAATACCTCAATCTGTCAAAATTACATAAAAAATTATATTTTTTTGGGCCAAATCCAGGTTTGACCCAAAAAATTAAACAAAAAATAAAACAATTATGTCGAATGAATCAGTGAAAAAAGTCATGAAGAATTATTATGAAAAATAAAGTTAAGTAAGGTAATCCTTTATTTTCCTTTTTTTTTTTTTCTCTGTTATAAATAAGAATATATTAATAATTCAAGAAAAAACATTTATTTTCTGATAAATGATTTATTTAAAACATTTGCCTTATGTTTCTTCAGTGCCAACCAATGCCAGTGGTACTGGTGACGTAAGTATGAAGAAATCTGGCAACCATGTACAAGTTCCTCCAGTAAAAACGAAGCAAATTAGCAAAAACACTGAAGAATGTCAAAGGTACGTGCAGCGAATGGTAATGAGAGGTGAACACGTAGTGTTGATATGTGCATTGTTGGAAAACACTTGATACAATTGTTATATTTCTTTTATTTTGTTTCATTAACTCTTGATTTTGTTATTTGTACATAAGCTCAATTTAAATCTTATTATTTTTTAAGGACTATATCTAGTATTATTTATTTTTGGAAATAACAACGGCTAAAATAAGCAGAGCAACTAAAAAAATCATATAAATCAAACATTAAGGATTGTAACTTTTACAAAAATTAGTGCCGAACTTTGTGTTTGTTTTTTTTAATTAATTGTTAGAATTGTTCATTAACTTTCTTTTTTTTTTGTTTTTGTTCTTTGTGATGTTGTACATAGGTATGTTGATTTTATAACTAATAAAATGTTTTAAAAATATGTTATGTTTAGTATTTATTTTAAAATTTTAAAACGCTAAGTCAGTTTTTTAATTCAAGGCATATAAGAATCAGCACAACAAAAATTATCATCAACTGGTATTTCAGTGGTCACTGTGGCGCGCTTTTTTTCACTCGCATAGCAGAAGAATACATTATTTTCTTTTTGTTAAAATGTTTTTTCTTTTGCTAATTTAAAATTTTGATGTACTTAATGATCTTAAATTAATAAGTTATCAGAGTGTAACATCAGTGCTACTATTTTTTTGGTGAAATTTGAATTTTTCGACAGGTTGCCTTGTTTTAACTGTTCATTTTTACTTTCATTTTGCCTCCCATCATTTTTGGGTAAATTGTTTATTTCAGTTTTACCACTGCCAAGCGTTATTTTTAATTTTCCGTTAATACAGAGAATTTTCTTTGAGAATAAAATTGTTTTTTAAATTTTGTCTTGATAAATTTGAATCTATGAAATATTGAATTAGGGGAGTTATATTTTTTTTTGTTTATTTTATTATGTATTTTATGCAAAGTGTGTAAATTTGGTAAGACATTATGTCAGGAATAGAATTATAGTAAGTTTATTGTGAATCTTAAAAAGAGGTTTAAAAATATGTAGTTACTTGCAGTACAGCGTGATATCGTCCACAAGTTAAAATCTTGAAAAATATTGTAACAGTTTTTCATTAGTAACATAATCACTTTCGAAATTTGTCTTGAGTTAACCTATGCAGGGTGAGTCATAAATAAGTACAAATATTTTTAGGGCTGATAGATCTCGATAAAAAAACATATTTTCTCTTTACCGTTTTTGAAATAAGTCCAAATTAACCGAGTTATTCAAATTTGAAAATTAAAAAAAATTTTGAGAGCCACCGAATTTTTACGGTATCTGCATCCCTTTTAGTGCTGTAGACAGGCAGTTCTAAAAAGTTTTCTAAAATATATAGGATCATTTAAAATAAAATGCACCATTTTCAACATCTTTTTTGCGAAAAAAACTCATTCGCCATGTTCCTGGGGTCGAAATATAATAGCCCTAAAAACATTTGCACTTATTTAAGACTCACCCTGTATATTATGTCTTGCATCGGTTAACCGGAAATTCCAGGAAATGAAAATTTCTTTTGAAAAGAAGTAAGTACACCTCAAAATAATCTAGATCGTTTACGTATTGTTTTATGGGTTTATCACTATGAATTCTCCTGGTATTATTATTTTTTCTTTAATTCTTGATTAAAAGCAAACTATGTTAATCGTTCGTTGATTGATTAAAGAAAATCTAACAGTTAACAAAATGACCATTCTATTATGCAAGAAAGAAATTAATAAAATATGAAGATTAGTTTAAATTTTATAATTTTATGCTAAAACTATGAAGTAGACGACTCGATGTTTGGTGAAAAGAGCCATTATAGCGTAACACCATTAAGAGAAAGTAGTTGTCTGCGTTATGTAGATTTTTCAGATATTTTACTAGCCTTTTTTAAGCTAAAATACCTGTTTAAGCTAAGATACCTGTGTACGAGTCTTAAATAAGTGCAAATATTTTCAGGGCTGGTAGATCTCGATAAAAGAAACATATTTTCTCTTCACCGTTTTTCAAATAACTCCAAAATAACCGAGTTATTCTACTTTGAAAATTTAAGAAAAAAATATATTTTTTCGTTAAATTTTGAAAACCACTGTATCTCTTCTGGGTTTTCTTTCTTGTGTGTGAATTAAATCTACTACTTATATTGTCATATTATGAAAATATATTTTTAGCCGACCATAACAACAGGTATGGTAGGTATTAAGATCGGCAAAAATTTTTTTTTAATTTCACTCAAAATGAGTTATTTGATCTGTAACACGATAACTTAAAAACCGCTAAACCGATTTTAACCAAATTTGGCACAAAGATACTGTGGCACCCGAGAATCTGGCCATTAGTTTTTGGTGGAGGTGGGGGGTATGGGAGGGGGTTAAAAATTTTAAAAAATCCTAACTCCAAAATTACAGTAGCTAGCGAAACGCGGTTTTCAATTTAAGATTAGGAATAATATTTGCAACAAAATTTGTAATAACATCAAAATCAGTCAAAGTCGCAGTTTTTGAGATAAAAAAAATTGGAAAAATTCCTTTACTTTGAAACTAAAAGAACTGCCTACCAACTTTTTATTAACATATTTTAGTATGGGCGGCTATACGTGCCCCCGGCGCCATTTTTTAACTTAAAATTGTTTTTTTTTAATTTTTTTCAAAAAATTCCAAATTTGAAATATTTTTCGTGGAAAAAACAAATAGAAGTGTTTCTGGGATCGAAATATACTACCCCTAAAATATTTACAGTTGTTTACGACTCAGCTTGTATATAAATAAATGATTTTACTGGTAAACCCCGAGGTAAACCCCAATTCGAAAAATTATAATATAAAAACGATTCCTTATTTTTAAAATATCAATCACCTCCTTTTTTTCGCATTTGTTTCTTACAGCATATTAAAAATAATGTATATACCTTTGTGACGGGCTCGTTCCGAAAAAGTCTATTTTTAACGGAACGTCAATGGTTTATAATAGATCAATCTGCTAAAAACTAAAGTGTTTTTTAATGGTTACAGCGCTTTCAGATGGAGCGGAGCGTCCGAGCGGACCGTCCGCGATTTCGAGCAAGTACCATGAGTTTATATGAGCAATTTTACAAGAGTGGCGTATGCTCCGTCCGGATGAGCTATCTTGAAAAAACATCCTCGCGGACCGGACGGTCCGCCCCATCTGAATGCGCTGTTAGTTGTATTTAGATAATTTAAATAGATATTTCTCTTTTTTTTTTGCTTTTTTTCTCTTACGATGGGAAGAGGTATACGTCCGAAAACGTTAAACATTTTTTGTCGGTTATGCAAATTTGTTTTACTACTATAAAGCCACTGCGAAGGCGGTGTGTTGCCCTTTGAATTCAATCCAACGCTGTTTACAAAAAATAACTTTTTATTTTGTTTTGATTCCTCTTCCAGTGATGAAAAACCCAGACCTTTTCATGAAATTACACCATATTGCTGTACTACAAGTAATATAACACAATAATATTATAGATTTAGTGCAATTTTCAAATATGGTTTAACATTTTACAAAAAATATACTTATTAATTCTCTTTAAAATCAACAATTTTAATTTAAACCAGATTACGTACGAAAAAATAACTAGAAAATTACTAATTAAATAACGTATCGTGCGTTAAATGATAAATTGATATCGTTTTTAAAAAATAATTACAACAAAATAATATTTACACAACCAATGCAATTATTAATGCCTATTAATATTTCTTGGAAGTATACAACGATTTTTTTAAGCAGATGTCTTTCATGTGTTATTTATACGATAAATTAGCTTTATTTATTTATATTTTATTTTTATTATGATCGTTGTTTTGTAGAACATTCAATTAAGTATTATAATAATTACGAATATATATTTTTCTTTCAAGTGGTCTTGATCTGAATTTTTAATGGCCATAATGCGTTCTTTCAAAGTCATCGAATAACTAAATCATTTCCATAGATCCAGTGACGTACCGTGACTTTGAATTTTGAGACCAAAAACTGACAAATAATTTGTCAAAAAAATCATATTACAGCTATATGTTTTATTTTGCATAAAAATGTTAACTAATAAGTTAGAATAATTATATTTTTTCCCTAACTAAGTGGTTTTATCGCTAAATTTAACTAAAGCTAAGAACAACACAAATCTTAAATGCGAGGACTATTATAACAACAACTACATCGTAAAAGACTATTTTGGTAGCATTCTGAACGTGGATTCAAGTTAAACTTTTTAGAAAATAATTTAAAGGAAAAATGAACCTGCTCGCAGATGCTTGTTCCGAGTAAAATGCTAGAGCTCTATGATTTGCTTTTATAAACTCTGGCACATGATGCAGAATTGCATGAATCTTTGGAGTTATCTTAATACCTAAGTTGAGTATTTCCAATCTAAATTGTTCGATGTCATGTTCAAAATGTTTGTTTAGTGCTTGACCAAAACAACTCGAAACTACTTGATTGAATGCAGAAAACATTGCAATATATTTATTTCCTAAAAAAAAAGATGTTTAGGTTTTTGCTTCTAAAAACTTTGAATAGGATTCTTTACCGGGCGATATCGTCTTCAAAATATCCACTTTCTTTAAAAGTTGTCTGGCGTTATTTCCGTTACATTTTCCATAATGATATAGTTTCAATCCCGCTTTTGTTATCCATTCTGTTGCAACATTGGTATTCTCCAATCAAAACAATCAAATAGTTTTTGAACCACACCTAACAAAAGGTGAAGCTCAGGAGGGGGAATATACTTTAAGACAGGTGTTTCTTCGTCGCCAATGATTAAAGGTATGTTTATGCAGTTTTCTAAAAAATAATTGCCCTTTTTTATATGGTTCATTGAACAACAGTTTAAAAAATACAAAAAAAATATTTCAAAAGCGCTTACTAAAATCTTTGGCTTTTGTTATATTTAGTTTTGAATGATCTTTTAATTTCCATATCCTTTACATTTACATCACACCATGGGCAAGTGTGAGTGGATGAATTTGACTGAAGACCAAGGAGAATCATAATAAGCTTAAAGTCAACGGCAAAAGTATAGGAACAAATTCCACGTATGGACTGCAGATCTAACGTCTCAAAGAGGCTTTTAATGTTAGCATAAGATTCAGACAACTTTGGTCCTAAGCCAATTATGAATAGTTTATTAATTCCAGCACTTTTATATTTCTTGAAATATTCGGGATCATTTTCAGGGAGCACATTCAGACAAACTTTAAGTGATCCACCACCACTATCAATGCTAATTTTTAGATGAAAATCTTCAGATAATTCTCTAATTTCCAAAATATATGATAGAAGACCAGATAAATCTGAGCAGTATACAAAAATTAATATTAAGTGAATTAACATTTTTCCTTTAAATTTTATTCTAAAATGTTTAACTTGAATTCTAGTTCAGAATGCTACCAAAATAGTCTTTTACGATGTATTTGTTGTTATAATAGTCCACGTATTTAAGATTTGTGTTGTATTTAGCTTTAGTTAAATTTAGCGATAAAACCACTTAGTTAGGGAAGAATTATAATTATTCTGACTTATTAGTTAATATTTTTATGCAAAATAAAACATATAGCTGTAATATGATTTTTTTGACAAATTATTGTTTCAGTTTTTGGTCTCAAAATTCAAAGTCACGGTACGTCACTGGATCTATGGAAATGATTTAGTTGTTCCATGATTTTGAAAGAACGCATTATGGCCATTAAAAAATTACTAATTTTACAATTTATATATTTTTTATTTTGAATCATATAAAAACCGAACAGTGCTCTATCTCCTACAGAAAAAGGCGTTTCCTGTATACTTTTCAAAGATGTATACAGTATGTCCCCGGATCATATTTACAAGAGGAAAACAATTTGTATTATTAACATTTTGAGAAAAATGTATTTTTCATTGAAATTTTTGTTTGTCCTAAAATGGTAAATTCCCTTTATACTTCTTCAAATTTCACTACCGTTTCAAAAAAAAAAATTCAAAAATATCTAAGGTTGAATTAAAAAAAAAGATCAAAAAATCACAACGCGTCTTAGTTGTAAAATCAATTCGTTTCCATTATTGCTAAGTATCATTTTTGGTACGATGTTTAAGATTACTTTAAATAATGAAGATAGTGATTGTGAGACAGTGATTGTGAGTACATACTATAATCAATTAAACAACAATGAATAATAGTGTAATTAATAATAAAGAATAATAATAAAAACCTAACCTAACTTAACGACTTTATACAGGAAAATTATGACATTTTTCGTTAAATTCTATGACATTCTTCTCCAAACCAAACTATCCGATGATAACTAATGTCAACTTTTCAGTGGCAATGAAGTAAATAAAGTTTGTGTTCCTTTACCAATGTAAAACAGCAAAAAAATATGTCCTTAATTATATTTAATATTAACCATCTCTGAAAGAATGAAAACTAAACGATACTACCAGACGCGCTTTGATGTTTAAGAGTTTGAAAAAATATGAGAATATGGTTGAATTTTTTGTAACGCCAAAAAGAAAGCATTTTCGCAACATTTCAATAACAAAAATGTCTTTTCTCTTGTAAAGATCATCGTCCGGGGACATAGATATCACATAAATTATGCATTATACTTCAATAGAAAAAGGTGTTTCAAAACTAAACTGACTTACCGAAAGATAGCCATCCGAATAAGTTAATCCAAACAGGTAAAAAAACAACTGTATATAATCCAAAAGAAAAAAAAACTAAGACACTTTGTCTAGACACCTTCACAAAAGTAACTCTATTTCTTCAGTTCAAAGTAGTATAATCCAAAAACCAAAAAAAAAACACACTTAAGTATCCACGCACTCGCAAGTCAATCACAACACGCGCAACGAAAATAATAGTCCTTTAAAGTACTCTTCGAGTTTACCACAAAAATTTGCGAAAAAACTGTTTTTCTCTGTGAAAAATTTCCAAAAAATTGGCTCGAGCGTCTACGCGAAGGACCACGGTGAGCGTGAAGCGCGCCGCGATCGTCTTTTGTCGGGGCAAACGCGCGCGCGAATCGATCGTCAACTGTCTAGTTGATCGAATGGTGGTGGTGGTCGCGAGCGACTGCGATGGCTAAGCCAAAGGTGCGCGAAACGGACTGACTGAGCCCACTAGAGTCGGCTGGTTTGGAGGCAACGGGGAGCGCATGTTGGAGAAAGATTTTCGCCCGTGTGTTGGTTGGCTACGAAGGATAGTGATCGCGTTCTTCTGTTGTTATTTTTTTCGGCAGGAAAAAAATGGGAAAAGCGCGTTGACAGGTTGGGGTTGGGGGTTTGTCAGTAAACTTATAAAATTACTGGTTTCTTGTATGTTTTTGATTTAATAGTATCATTTCATTATGCTAGATTCAGTAGATGGAGTTGCAATCTAATAAGTAGTCTTGCGGTCCCTTCCTATTTCACCTGAAATGACTGCAACTTTTGATTTTCAAATATTATCAAGTATTTTTTTACTTTATTCGATAGAAAATGACACTCTGAATAGAATGACATATCGTATATCACCTTTTGACATTTTCACTTAAAAAAAATCGTATTTTAAATTTCAATCTAGAGTGCCATGACTGTGTTAAAAACACTAATTTTTAATCAGGGAGCTTTGGAAAAATAGATTTGATCGTCTAATGTTTTAGTGTCTTGTCCTGGCCGGTTAAAATATGCCCAAATCGTATTTTTAATCATATCTCAATTTTTTCAAATGGAACGAGGTTGGTTCATTAGCATATTTAGAAAAAGCATTTTTTTCGAATAATTTAGTACCACACACTTGGTATTCGAGTATATTGCCGTTTTGAACCGCATGTTACAATTTCAAATAAACCATATGCGAAAATGTAAAAAGTAGACATATCATATGTCATTCTGTTCAGAGTGTAATTTTCTATCGAGTAAAATAAAAAATACCGAGGATGCCATTTAAAAATCTAAAGTTGTAGTAATTTCCGGTGAAACCGGAAGTGACAAAAAACAATTGAATGCGTCAATAAATCTTAATTTATGTCACATACTAACATACCAAATCTCGTTTTTATCTGAAAAAATATAAAAGTTATAGGGGGTAAGCCACTTTTCAGACACACCCGGTATAATAACAAATATAATAAAACTAAATTATGAAGACGTAACCAAATCAAGATGTAAAATAAATTTAAATATATTTTTAGTATTTTTTAAATACTAGTTAAATTTTTAAAGTTGACTTTTTTGGAGCCCCACGTTGGGCTCCATTTTCTATCATTAGATGTTATAAAAAGATGTATAAAATGTTTTTTTATGAGAATTTTCTTTTGGAAATATATATTATGCAACCGCATTTACCGGTGAGCAAAGGGTTGTATATTGAGGAAAACAAAAAACTATTTACATCTTTATATTATTATGGGCGCCACTCAGTTTTGGAAAACTTGGAACTCACTTTTGCAAAAACACAAGTTGAAAACTGAGAAATCAAAATGAGAAGATTAATATTACTTTTTTTAGGAGTTATAGAAATAAAACCGCTGAGAGGTAAACTGATAACTCAGTGTAATGAAATGTACAATTGAATAATTAATTAATATTTGGGCGGAAATAATGGTAGTATATTTATTTACAAAGATTTAAATAGTTTTCTTTTTGTTTAAAAAATGGATTAGCACACTATAGATTTCAGCATCTGTTCATTTTGTAAATTTGTTATTTTCACAAAAAAATCTAAAATGTCAATATTCTATGGATATAATGATAAATGAGGTGTAAATTAATTTATAAGAAAATGCATTTCTACGAAAACTTGAAGAGCCATGTAAAAAAGTTTATAATATAATTTGATAGACTCTAATTTACATCTACCGATTCACGTAAAATGTACAGTGTCTCCCATTTACATTAAACAGGCTATTGCCGTTTAAAGCTAATAATTATATAAAATAAATTTTTAGGCACTTTCTATAAGAATTTTTTAGAATTAGAATTTAGAATGAGTGGGAGGGGGGTTAATCACTTCGACCTTACAGATCCATTGTGTCCCCCTTTCTTGAATCATAACTCATCATACAGTCCCAGGGCTTTGACAAAAGCCAGTATCTGGGACGGTTTTATAGAGGGTAGTTCTCCATCTCCAATATCAGTCGTACCAAAATTCATGGCACGAATGGTTGTCGTCTCGGCACACTCAGTGATGAGGTGTACTGGTGTTTCCCCATCTTCCCCACAGAATCTGCATTCGCCGTTTCTTCTTAGTTTCAATCTACTGAGGTGTTCATTGAGGAGACAGTGTCCTGTTAAAAACCCCTGACAATCCGAAGATTGTTCTTACTCAGACCTAGGAAGATCTGTGATTTTTATTGATCATAAGCCCTCAGAAACTTCTTCGAGTGTCCTAGACCATTGCAAGATTTCCATTCCAGGTTGCGGATGGAATCTTCCAAGTTCTTGAGTTCCTCCTTGAGTTGGTTACCACTTGGAAAGCAGAACGGTTCTGGTCCAGTTAGTGGAGTGTTCGCTCCTTTTCTACCTAGATTATTTGCTTTTTCATTGCCTTTTATCCCTTGGTGAGCAGGCACCCAGTGTAGGAGGACTTTGTTTTCTTTGCCTAATTTATTCAGCTTCTCTATGTATTCTTTGACCAATTTCGAATTGATTGAGACTGAGTTGATCGCCTTTAACGCTGCTTGACTATCAGATAAGATGGCTATTTCTTGTTTCCGATAGTTCCTATCTAAGATAAGTTGTACGCATCTCTCGATAGCGTAGATTTCTGCCTGTAGGATACTAGGGTAAGTGCCCATTGGTTCGGAGTAATTAGCTCTCGGCCCAAACACTCCGATCCTCCACTTTCTATAAGGTAGTGTTATTTTTATTATTGCAAGACAAAATTTAGTAAATAGAAAAACTTCAGTACCATATTTGGTTTAAAAAACGCCTAGAGAAATAAAGCATTGAAATTTTATTGCTACAGCATTTTCACAAAATCGGAAATCTTTCAGAAATGGTTAGATTAAAATGCGGTAAACCTTCAACGATCTGATCACTCACAATTTCCAAAAATCTAATCATTTGGCTACAATACTCCGTTTCGAATAGCGTGAACAACCCTGTATAATCTAGGCAAAAGGCGGGTGCCTTAAGTGTTATTTGAGTATTAATAGAACAGATCTGTTAAGCCCATTAAAATACCAAAAATTCGCAACTTCTAGGCGAAACAAATAAACGAACGATCGATTCGGCCTTAAACGCCGCTGAAAATCCGAGAGAGATCTCGAAAGACTAAGGTCGCGACCACAACCAACCAACGGTCCACTCCTTCGACCGCCAAAATCACGGTCGCTCGAGAACCACCGCTGGTACTGCCTCTGTCACCGTCGCCCGTGGAACGCAGGCACTTGTTATCCTTTGAAATTTCTTTAAGGTTGTGCGGAGAGTAGAGTGCGAAAAGGAAAAAAGAGGTATTGGCGAGCGTGGTTATGTAACGCGGTAGTACTGTTGGGTCGTACTGAAGCTTTGTAGGTGGTTTTTGCTTAAATTAGATGGTGATGGATATTTTTCATCGAATTTGCCCACTGTCTTATATATTTTTTTTTGTCTGTTGTACTATGCTTTCATGCCAGATTACTTTGTGTACTACTTTTTTTTATTTGTATTGAAAATGAAATGGCAGCTGATTCAGATTATACAGCAAGATTTAAATAATTACCATTTCTCAAAGCCGGGATGGTTAGGTTAGGCTACAGAGCGACAAAAGCAAAAGTGAGGCCACAGCGCAGAGAGACCTTCGAGCCATGTTGACAGCGCCTCCACAGAGCAGTGAAACGATAGCAGGGTTGCTGACTAGAGAACGTAAAAATTACGCCAGGCGCGTCAAATAAATTATCCGGCCTGAACGAGAGGGAAGGACGTTATCACTCCCCGGTGATGATACGCCAGACATCATATATCATATACAAAGACATGTAACGAACTAAAAACGTTACAGTATTAATGCAGAAAACAAAGTCTCCTATTCTGGATGCCTGCAACCAAGTGATAGAAGGTAATGAGAAACCAAATGATCTTGCTAGAAAAGGAGCGAACACTGCACTAACTGAACCAGAACCGTTCTGCTTTCCAATCGGAAACCAACTAAAAGCGGAACCTAAGAACTCGGAAGACTCCATCCGTAACCTGGCATGGGAATCCTACAACGGTCTGGGACACTCGAAGAAGTTTCTGAGGACTTACGACCAAGAAAAGATTTTCCTTGGTTGAAGTAAGAACAATCTTCGGATTGTCACGGGTTTTTTAACAGGACACTGTCTCCTCATTGAACACCTCAGTAAATTGAAGCTACGAAAAAACGGCTAATGCAGATTCTGTGGGGAAAATTAAGAAACAACAGAACACCCAGTGGCGGATTAAGACATATTTGCGCCCTAGCTAATAAAAATATGGCGCCCATACCCCCCCATAAATTCTTTAAAAAAGTGTATATCTAAATAGTTGAAGATTATTTTTATATCTAGAATGCAGAAATATAAGAGCAGATTGAAAACGGAAATTTAGACGATTTAACAGTAAATTATATTTGTGTTGTAACGTTTTTAGTTCGTTACATGTTTTTTTATATATATGATATATGATGTCTGGCGTATCGTCACCCGATTCCGTATCGTTCAGGCCTGATAATTTGTTTGAAGCGTTTGGCGTAATTTTTACGTTCTCTAGTCGACAACCCTGTTATCGTTTCACTGCTCTGTGGAGGCGCTGTCAACATCGCTCCAAGGTTTTGCTCTCCGCGCTTAACCTCACTTTGGGTTTGGCCGGTCGGCCATCTCAACAGTCCCTGCTTAGAGAAATTGCAATTATTTAAATCTTGCTGTATAATTTGAATCGGCTGCTATTTCGAAGCTACAGGTAAAGATGGGTCAGTCTTTTTTAGATTCGTTATTATTATTGAGTATTTTTAGGGTAGAGTTTTGGATTGGCCCACCTTAACTCGTATTTGTATTTTGCTGGTACGTTGGTGTACTTTTGCTGTTGTCCTCCAGAATGTCGAATGGAAGAAAGGACAGTTCTTTTGTTTATTATTGAGCCCTCGGAAGTGTTTCGAGGTAGGTTTATTTTGTTT